CCTCTCTTGGTTTAATGTAGAGGAAGGGATTCAGAGGCTTAGGAAGACGGAATTTTAGAGTGGATTTGTCATTTAAGACCCACTTGCACACACTGAGAGTCCAGAGGGCATACCTTTCTCCAATACTTTGAGAAATAAATCTGTGAGGGGAGGCCCAGCATTCTTGATGAACTTTGTGATCACTCCTCTCTGTAGGCCAGACCTTACAACGAGAACCACAGCCGCTCAATTAAATTGGAAAACATAAATGTGGTTGAGGTAATTTGATTGGGGTGTCAGTGACCAAGTGGTGACACTCAACTGCCAAAGGCAAGGTGGACGTGATTACCATAATACACAGTAGAGTCAAAGCAGCAATCAGAATAGTTTGACTCACGCTGACCTATGGCATTGGCTGGTTGATCATGGCATTCCTAGAAGTGAATTAGATAGGAAGCCTACTAAATTCTTGCTTCGTCTGTATAAGCAAAAAAGTTCTAGGTAAGTAAACAAAAGTATAACTTGAATCATAAAAACAGAGAGTCACAGACCCTCAATCAATTCCCAGAACTAAACCAATTACTATACCCAAAACTCTTGAATTAGGGGGAGGCTGGGTCTCCTAAGGCAAGACCCTGATAAACTACTAAAAATTTATACTGTTAATTGTCCCTAAAGGAACTTTCCCAGAGGGACCTCTAGCCTTTTACCTGGGTAACTGTACTTTGAGGAAAAGGAAATAATCAGATGTTTTGGGGACTACTGAATACTGGCTCTGAACTGTCACTGATTCCAGGAAACCCAAATCATCACTGTAGCTCTCCAGTCAGAGTCAGGACTTAGAAAGGTCAGGTGACCAATGGAGTTTTAGTTCAGGTCTATCTCACAATGGGTATAGTGGGTCCCTAAACTCATCCCATAGTTATTTTCCCAGTTGCAGAATGCATAATTGGAATAGACATACTTAGCAGTTGGCAGAATCCCCAAATCTGCCAATACCTGACTTGTGGAGTGAGGAATATAACAGTGGGAATAACTAAGTGGATGCCATTAGAATTGTCTTTACCTAGGAAACTAGTAAATTAAAAGGAATACTCCATTCCTGGAGGGATTGCAAAGATTAGTACCACTATCAAGGACTTGAAAGTTACAGGAGTAGTGACGCCCACCACATTCCATTCACCTCTCTTATTTGGCCTGTGCAGAAGACAGATACATCTTGAAGAATGTCTGGATTATTACAAGCTTAAGCAGGTGGTGACTCTGATTAAAGCTGGTGTACCAGATGCAGTTTTATTGCTTGAGAAAATTAACACATTCCCTGGTACCTGGTATGTAGCTACTGATCTGGCAAATGCCTTTTTCTCCATCTTTGTCCATAAGATACACCAGAAGTAGTTCGTTCTCAGCTGGCAAGGCCAGCAATACACCTTCATTGCTCTATTTCAGGGGTATAGCAACTCTTCAGCCCTATGTCATAATTTTGTTCAAAGAGAAGTTGATCATCTTTCCCTTCCACAAGACATCACACTAGTCTATTATGTTGATGATATTATGCTGATTAGACCTAGTAAGCAAGAAGCATCAACTTTTCTAGACTTATTAGTAAGACATTTGTGTATCAGAGGGTGGGAAATAAACTAAAATTCAGGGGCCTTTTACCTCAGCGAAATTTCTAGGGGTCCAATGGTGTGGAACATGTTAAGATACTGCTTCTAAAGTTAAGGATAAGTTAAGGATATGGACCTCCTACAACCAAGAAAGAAGTCATGGGACTTCTTAGCCTCCATAATTGCATGAGACAGTTCTTACAGTGAATGAATGAATGAATCCTATTCGTTTTGTTTCTCTGGAAAATCCTGAATAATATACTTGCTCAGCATAATAATGATCAACTTCTATTAAATTATCTCCCTCTGTCTCTCTCTCATCTGAATTCACATAGTACATATGCACCCCTCTAACCCTTTAATGATATTTATCACATTCTTTTTACTTAGTTTTGTAGCGTGTGGTACTCATCTTATATCTTTGCTATTGGTCTGAAGTCTACTTGAAGGATAAAAGACCATGTGTTATTCATCTTGGGATCCCAGCAGAGCCTTCTAAAAGATGTGTTGCACATTTTGTTTTATTCTATGAACAAATGAATGATAAAATGAACAAGTACTAATCAAAGTAACCACTACAGAAAATCTGATTTATGAAATGCTCCTATGTAGCTTTCTTTTGGAATTATTTAGAAGATGTCTTTAAAAATGAGCCTATATCCTTTGCGGTATGAATGTTTAATGAGGGAATGAAGAATGGATGTGGAAAATATGTGAAGGAAAGAAAATATGGATTCTTTTCATTTTTAAAAACTCTGAATATAGTTTAGGAAGTCATGACTAAACCCAAAATAATACTCAGAATTAACTAGTTCAGTAAAATAATCAGCCAATTTAGTGATAACAAACTTTTTTCTATCTTTAAAAAAAGACTTTGCCCAAACAATAGACAATATAGACATTTTACACCTCTTTCACTTGTTTTGGGCCTGGTCAGTTACAGACTAAAATAGAGAAAAAGGAGGATTTTATACCTATATTTACTAGTTTAGCCTTTATTTTTGTGCTCTTTCCTTTTAAACTCACTATCTCAAAATCTTGCCCATTGCCACACCTTAACTCTCTGATCTCTACAGATAACTCATAATCCTGGAGGTCTTACAGAGTTAATCAGCCACAATATTAATTCCTCTTCACAATGTCCCTTAATATTCATTTCTGAAATTATTACCTTACAAATTTCTGTCTGAATTTCTTCTGTAACCTCCAAGCTAGGATCAGTTGCTCCAGTCTCTAATATTTTCACGACACCATTCAAGACTATACAGTGGGATTCTGAAGCTACGAAAGCTTGACTACTCATTTTGACTTCATCTCTCTTCACTCTCCTTATCTGAAGAAAGCCACGAGCCAGAGTTAGCAAGCTGGCAGAGCCAGGATATGAATACATTAGAAGTGATGGGTTCTCCAGGGATCTCAAAGGGAAAAAATACCGATTTTCTAACGAGGCAAAAATAGACCAGACACAAATGAGATCCTGTTAGATGATGAAGAAGGTATTTCAAATCAGATTATTCAATGAGTGATTTAGGGACAACTGTCAACTTTTGCTCAAAACAGATGACTTCCCACCTCCTTCAGATTAAAATCCAAATTTCTTACAATGGTCCATAAGATTGTATGTGGATCTGGCCCTTGACAAGCTCTCTAATCTCATCTCCTCCCATTCTTCTCCTTTCTCACTTTCAATCTGGCCACACCAGGCTGCTCCCACAAACCTCCAGGCACATTCTGTCTCAAGGACCCAGCAACATTGTTTATACTGTCACTTTATTCAGGTATTTACTCCAATGTCATCTGTTCTGAGAGGTCTTTTCTATCCACCTATATAAATAGCAGGCCCAAGCACATACCCTGTCACTTTACTTACCCTGCAATCATCACAACCTGATGTAAGTAAAAAGTATGCTGGGAAGAAGGAGATGGGAATGTGTCTCCACTCAGCACGATGTAAGCTGTAAGCACTATGGGAGCAACAATTTTGTTTCTGGCTATTTCCACCTCCTAAACCAGTACCATAACCATTGTCAGTCCTGCCTCTGATTTAGTATCAGGATAGGAGAGAACTCCAACATCACCATGGAACAGCATAAGACCTGATTCTAGACTGGTGGCCCAAGGAAGAGGGGATGACTGTCGGTATCTTCCCAATAGGATGTAAGCTCCAAGAGAATAGAGACTGACAGTTTTGTTCACTGCTTGATCAAGGCTGAGCCTCCCTCTAACTCAAAGCAAGCAGGTGTGAAATCAATACTACTACCAGGGAATGATCTGAAATTTGGTTCTAGGCTAGGAGCCCAGAAAGTTAGGGGGTAAGGGCATAGTTGGTGAACGCAGTACTCTATACTGATTTTTTTTCTATCCCCCGCCCACTAAGACATAGTTCTGTATTTTGCTCACTGCTATATACTCAACCTCTAAAAGAGTTAGAACTAGGGTGAAACCTTGCTCTGACTAACAAGTGGTGGGATATCCTCAAATCACAGGCAGACGATATAAGGCCTAAAGGCCAGGGGTGTAAGGGTAGTGGCAGCTGTCTTCCTCCCTCCATTAGGATACATGCTCAAAATGAGTAGAGATTTTGTCTAGATTTTTCACTGTTCTATCCCCAGGTCCCAGTCCAGGGCTGAGTTTCTCCCTTACTGTTCCTTAATAACTCAGTGTCATCATGGAACAATATAATGCCTGGTTCAGGACTTGGGGGTCTTAAGGGAGAGCAGGAACTAGGAAGCATTATTATATATCTAAAATGTATATGCATTTGTATTTTTTGTTGTCCAAAGACAAACTATATATCCTGTACACTATATATACCACCTAGTTTGTCACGTTGTACACATACACTCCCTAACCCTTTAAGGATATTTATCATATTCATTTACCTTGTTTTGGAGAGTTTCATACCCATCTTATATCTTTATCAGTCTGAAGGCTACTCAAGGATAAAAGACCATGTGTTAAAAAAGCAAGGTTTTTGTTTTGTCCACTGCTATGTTCCAAACTCTTAAAACAGTGCCAGGATTAGGGCCAGCCTCTCTGAGCATCAGAATGTGGGATAACACCAACATTTTCATCAGAAAATATAAGGCCTATTTCTGGTCTTGAGACCGGGTGTGGGTGGTAGTTATCTGCCTTGCTACAGCCAGCATAAACTCTCCACTAGAGCTGAAATTTTGTCTTTTGTAGTCAACCGCCAGTACTGTGGCTAGGGCCAAGCCTCTCTGAATGTCAGGAGTGGTAAAAGTACCTAGAAAAGCAAATAGCATTCTAGTCAGCATTATGGGTTGTTTTTGTTGTTGCAACCCATTTCCCAGTTGGAATGAAAGACTATCCCTACAACAAAAACCAAAACAAATTCCACATGGTTTAAAGTTTTTCATGTTGAAAAATTTAAAGAACACAAAAAAATCATACTGTTATCGATTATTATATTTGCAGTAAATATACAAAACATAGACAGGAATCACACTAAATTCATGATAGTGTTCGCCTCTGCAGAGAAAAGAAACGTTATGGTACTGGGAAATAGATTTATTATCTGTAATGTTCTGACTTTTTAAAAATATAAATCTATATCTAAAGCAAATATGCCAAAATGTGAACATTTTTTAATTTGGGGTAAAGGTAAACAAATGTTTGTTATATCATTCATATTTTCTATATTATGTTTTAATATTCCAAAATAAAATACAAAGAGAATTCAACACACCATTATAGCTGATGATTTTATTACAATGTTTCCAGAATTGAACATACCTAGGACATATGCATATGCAACATGAAAGGACATAAAGTACCTGAATCATACAATCAAGAATCTTGATAATAATGAAAACTTTAAACTTTGAATTTCCCAGAGAGTACACATTCCTTTCTAAGAGAACGCTTGAATAAATCAATTACCCTTGGAGAGATAAGCAAGCTGATCTACCATTGAAAATGTCAACAGGATTAGACTGATTTACAGTTTAGTACTAGCTAATTTTTAAAGAACAAATACTTCTAATGCGAGTTAAACTATTTCAGACCATAGAAAAAGATTGAAAACTCACTAATTCATTTTTTAAAGCTAGCACAATTTTAATAAAAAAACTTGAAACTGACAGTGTAAGAAAGAAAAAATATAATTTCACTTTGGGATGTAAATGTAATAATTCTAAAATAAATATTGGTAAATAAATCCAGCAATGTATCAAATGATTCTTACACCATGACCAACTAAGATTTATTCCAGAAACATAAGTCGGCTTCAACATCACATACCTGGCACTCTAATTCAACAAATTAAAGGAAAAAAATCCAATGATTTTATGAATAGGTGCTGAAAAGACATTTGATAAAATTCAGGAGCCACTTTTACTAATCATGCTATGTAAAGCAGGAATAGAAGAAACTTTCTAAACATGGTAATGGTTTATGACTGTTTACCAATAACCAACAGCAAATATTCTATTAATAGGGAATATTAAAGACAATTCCGTGAAAATTAAGAACCAGACAGGCATGTATGTCATAATCATTATTCAACATTGTTTTGGAGAATCCTGCTGATGTAATAATAATATAAACATTAGAAAAAATAAAATTATCTATTTTGGCAGGTGAAATGATTGTATACCTAAAACGTCCAAAATATTCTATTTTAAAAACCCAGTGTAATTTAGAACATTTAGTAAGTTGATTAAATAGAAGGTAAACATTTTAAAAGATCGGCAGTTTGTCTATATTACCAAAAATAACAAGTTACAAATGAGGAGGAAAAATACTCAATTTAAAAAGTCAAAATGTGACAAAAACTTAAAATATTTAGAAATAAATATAATCAGACCGTACGGACCTATAAGAAGAAAATTACCCAAAAAAACTAAAAGATTTTAATGATATACTGAAACTCTTGAGTGTTAAGGATTAATATTATTAAAATAATCCTCTAATAAAAATGCAGAAATGTAAGACAATTTTAACTATCAAATTTTTTTTTAATGTGGAAAAGTGTTTTCAACTTTCATATGAAATAATGAATGTCTAGGACAAGTTATACCAAAAAAGAAGCTAATGAGAGGGTGACTTGCTTTACCAAAAGTCCAAAATTTATGGTCAAGCCACTGTAGTTAAAACAATGTGATACTGGCTCAGGAACTCGAGAACGGGTGGTTTATTTAATAAATGTGATAGTATAATCAGGTATCCAATGTGAATAAAATGTGTAGTTGGACCTCTATCTTGTATACCATATACAAAAATAAATTCCAAACGGATCAGTTAAGCCTTAAAATTAATAAAAATTTTTAGAAAAAAAATAGGTGAATATTTGTATAACTTGGGTGGGGACAGTCATCTGAAAAAGACAGGAAACCAAAAAGCTAAAAAGGAGATGGTAGTCTGTCTGAAAACTTTTTAAAAATCTGTAAAGTAAAAGATACAATCAGAAAAGTCAAGATTAATAAAAGGATGGAAAAAATCATAATACATATTGGCTACAAATGATTAATATGCACCATATAGAAAATATAGTAAGAATTCCTACAAATTTATAAGAAAAAGAGCAAAGATTCAATAGATAAATGAGCAAAGGATAAGCACTGGCAAATCACAAAAAAGAAATCCAAATAAAAAACAAAACATAAACTCCTCGTTGAGTTTATCACTTAAAGAAACAATACTATGTAAGTTTTCACTCTTCAGATTTGCAAACATTAAAGAGTGCTGGAGAGGATGCTGGAAAATGAGCACTTTGATTTTGGATGGTAATTTTGTAATAATCTCTTAAAATTAAATATATACCTACCTAGCAATCCCATTTCTGGGAATCTACTCTATAGATACAAAAGCACCAAAATGTACTGCAGCAGTGCTATGGTGCAACAAGGAAAGGAAATAACTTAAATGACCATCAATAAGGGAATAGTTGAATACCTTTTTGGTACATAAACATGTACTATGTATGCAGCTGTCAGAGGCAGGGAGGAGGAGAAGGAGAAAGAGAGGGAGAGAGGAAATAGGTGATTTATGTAATAAATGTGATGGCAAAATTAGGTATACAATGTGAACAAAATGTATAGTTGGACCTCTATCTTATACCATATACAGAAATAAATTCCAGAGGGAGAGGGGGAGAGTAAGAGGAGTGGAAGGGGGAGAGGAAGAGGGAGAGCTGTCTGCAGCTACTGATCAGAAGAGTTGCCATGGATATACCGAGTGAGAAAAACAATTACAGAGAAATGATATGGCTTGTCATTTTTACAGGAACAACTACAACAAACTTTCTGTAAGAGGATGGGGAAAACTGGAAGGGTATACCTCATGTTCTTAAGACTTGTTACCTGGGGAGAAGAAAGAGGGAAGGTAAGGAAATAGAAAGGAGAGGGTTTGGCGTTACACCATTAATTTTTCCTTATCTAGTTTTTCTTTGTTCCAATGGTTGCAAACACTTCTCAATTTTCTATTAGCACCTAATTTAAATTTTCAATTACAGAACAAGGCAATATCAAAAGTACCAAAGTATACTTGGGGCAAAACTGTGGAACTAGTGAATGTAAGATTTGGAGGCACAATAAGTAATAAGTAACAATAAGTTCCTGAATCTGTGACACCAAAACTGTTATCAAAAGTTCACAATTACAAGAACACGACATATTTTACATTTAATAGTTCCACAACTTTTGCAAAGACCACAATGAATTTAGGGGGTTTTCACCAAACCATAGACATAAATGTGGATATCATCATCAAACTTAATGAAGTAGACAGACGGCTTGGCCACCACTTGATGGATGAAAATGCCGGTTCTCTTGGATCCGTCATCTTTGGCGTGCTCCACTTGCTTGCCCACGAGGCTGTCGACCACTTCTCCAGGTTCTCGTTCTGCTGTAGGGAAATAGTAGTTGGAATCTGGAATGATGCGCAGGTCACCATCTTTGTAGTCATCCAGCAGCGTGTACATATAAAGGACGGGATCTTTCTCGTAGGTGATATAAAACCAAGTGTCCATCACGGGGGCTCGCGCCAAGACCATGCCCTTCCATTCATCTTTCCTACCGTGCTCACCCTCAAACACATGCCCCACTGCTTTGCCAATCAGGGAATCTGCCAGGCGCGAATCAATGCGAGGAGTTGGCACTCTCTCAGGAAGGATCTCTAGCGCTAAAACTCTCTTATCTCGGTGCAGTTCTAGTCCATACACACTATCTTTGCCATCGTATTTGATGATGTAGAGAGTGGGCTTCACGGAAACCTGCTCGAGCACGGTGCCCTTCCACTGCTCCACGGGCTCGTTGCCTTCCTTCCAGCCGTGTTGAATGCGGCAGCCCACGATGTTCCTACGGGTGAGGAAAGTGGGCTTGCGTCGCTGCTTCCTGTGTGTGTGCCTTTTCTTCATCAGGTATGCGGACACGCCATCTACGCCCATCGGAGGCACAGTTGGGGGCGACATGGCTCCGGGTTTTTAAGGAGGCTTTGGTAAAGCTGCGACCTGCTCGATTAAGCTGACAAAAAGTCAACACTATCCAATATGAGATCTTTTTTCGTGATCTCTGAGTCTCCGTCCGTCCTCCCTTCCCCAGGCGCAAGGCTCTCACCTAAGGCTTGGTAGAAGCGTTCTAACTCTGACGGTGGGCACTGGGACAGCGTGAACCTCTTGACAGTGTTCCCCTCTCCCGCCCTGGCGGGCTGTCTGCAAGCAGTAGCTGTTGCCGCAGGAGATGGCGGGCTCCCGTGTGCTACCCGCGCCTTGCGCCCGCCCCGACTCCCAACCCCAAGTCCTTGAATTGACCACTTAGCTTTTATCGATGGTGCTGCGGCTGTGGACGGCGTTGGAGAAAGAGACGAGGCGAAAGGTAGGCAAGAGATAAGAGAGATGGCTGCAGCGGCCAAGGCGCAGGCAGTGTCCGGTCTCTGAAGATTCCGCTTGGCCTCGGCTTCGCAGCGCTGCTCTGCTCGGCCTAGCTCTGGCGCCGGGGTTTTTGTGGCTTTGGGAATCCAACCGGTCTGAGCCCGCCTGCGCCTCGGCCCCGCCCCTCGCCATTCCTCCTTCCGCTCCGCTGCAGCAGCAGGGCGGGTCAATGCGCGCACCCGCGTTCAGTCCACACAGTCACAGGCGCTTGCTCTTTCATTTCCTCAGGCAACACCCGACCGCTTCCCTCAAACCAGAGCCAGACTGGCCGGCTCTCCTCCCTTTTCTCTGGCCTCCTGTCGCCCACTAGCCTTCTCCACGACCGCTCCATCTGCTTTCTATCTTCCAGGAATTCCTCACAAAGACTTTTTTAAAAAATAATATTCGGCACACACATACATACACAGAATTTGTGCATACAAATTATTTTCTTTCAGTTTAAGGAGTATGAGACCTGAGAAGAAAAAGCCTGTGTACAGTCCACCATCTTGATCAAAACTCTCGTTTATATTTTCTATCTGATCACTCCCAGTAATACTTTTATAATGTTTTGCTGAATGTAAAAGAAATGTGTTGATATTGTAGATAGTCTCTGAAATTCAACCGAATAAAAGACGAAACTAACCTTAATCTTACAGTCTAGACATACACCAAAATGTTAACAGTTCTGATTTCTCTCATTAATAAATCTATGGTTATATTTTACAAAATTGGAAGCAGATTCCATACCTCTAAAGCTTGTTTTTTTCATTTATATCATGAGCATTTTATAATTTAACATAACCTTGGAGCATTTAATAAAATGCATTTATTAAATACTCTGAAAGCATGATTTTTAATGGTTCCATAATGTTTCTTTGTATGCATGGTCCATTATTTATTCTAAAGAGTCTATGACAGAATAGATAACAAAATAGTTTACCTTTACATATGGATTTATTGAGCTAGTATAAACCATGTTTTCAAAGAATATTTAATGACATGGAGATCTAGATATGAGAGAAGAACAATGTATGAAAAAGCAAGATATTGAAACATAATCGTGGCCCCAATTTTGTAGACAGAAAAAAATGAAATGGTTTTTGTGGTATATATTTGCTGCTTTTGTGATTATGAAAGTACTGCATGCTCATATGGAAGATGTGAAAGATAGAAAAGAAAGTGTCCATACTTCCACCTACCTCGAGTCACAGGGATGTTATAAGGATTAAATGAGAATGTCTGGAAAACTTTTAGCCCTGTATCCTACTTACAAGATGGCAGTAAAAACCAGGGAAGTCGAGGCCCCTCATTTTCATTCCTCCACACTTCATTGGCCATAAGAGAAGACCTCATATCATCATGGATAAAAAAGGTCATTAATTCATCTGGAAATGTAGGAAAGCAGGGGAGAAAGCTGTAAGGTGGCAATACTGCCTGCACCCATATTTCATTACTTTCTGAGGCAGGGACGGAAAAACTTAGTCCTCATACCATTTAATAGCTGATTGGGCAGAACATGTGTGGTTTTCCCAATTTCCCATGTTTTCCAGGCCGAGGATTTTGGAGATGAGATAACTCTCCAATACTACATTATGAGAAAGTAATTCCAAAGAAGCAAGAAAACTACATATACTAAAAGGTATTTTAAAACTCTTTAGAATGATGTAGTAGTATGTATGTATTCACACATATATACAACCTACGCACTGAAAGTCAGAAGGTAAATGTAAATGTCATAACATTATGTTCCGCAAATAATAGCCCACCAAGTAATTCCTAGACCAAGATATGCCAAGCTCTTTTTGCTGAGAAGAGCAGTTGACAGGTGAGAGAAAAAGACCACCCACAGGGCACACAAAGGCAGAGCAAACAATTCACTCAGGCTTTTCAGTTATATACTTCAATACAAATTGTTGCTTACAACCCCATAAAACAGCCTGAGGAGGCAAAAGAATTTCTAATATCCTTTCTTCTCTAAAACTATGATTCTGATGTTTAGATCATCTGTTAACATTATGGATTCACTGGGCCTTGCCACACTGTGATATAATGTTTACGCTGTATGTCTGCCCACTAGACTATAAACCCATTCAGGAAAGGACTTTTATCTTGCATCTCAAGTGCCTTACACAGAGTAGGTACTCAATAAATATTTGTTAAATGAGTAAATAAGTGGTTTCAGCTGCTCTGTTCCAAACCAAAGAAATCCTCCCAAATAAAACAAGTAGTATTATACAAGCCTCTGAAGACTGCAGTCCTGGTGACTCAAAATCTCTAAGGGCAGCTTTATTTATCCCTTCAGAACTCCCAGATCATTGACCCTGTGAATATGTGTCCATAAGTCCGAAAATGATTAGGAAAACACCATCAACCTGCAATATGTGGATAATAATAACATCTACCTCAGAGGGTAGCTGTGAAGATTAAATGAGATAAATACAAGGAAATTTCTTAGCACATGAACTGGCTCATGGGAAGTATTCATAGTCTCCTAACCAGTCATTCCCTGAAACCAGCCTTTTTCTCTTACCAGTCTGTTTACAAACCAGCTAGCTCATGCCCCATCACTGAACTTTTACTCTGTTTTACACTCAAGTCCTCTTGGTCATGGGCTGAGTGTAAATCAAGGAGGCACTGTGGCAGAATTTTGTCCTTTATAGCTAGTTTCAGAGCAGTCTTTCAAATGCTGCACGTTTCTGGAAGCCAAATTCTGGATAAATTAAACATTATTGGAAATAAATTTGAGAGCTACAGTGATAATTTATAACTGAAGGGGCAGTGGGGAAAGGCATAAATGTTCTTAATTCCATGGTACAACGCAGATTATAATAAATACTGTGAGAAGTACAAATTAAGCACTGGGGACCCAAAGGAGGTAATGATTTGTTATGGCTGGGGAGATTGTAAAAGACAACTTGAAAGGGTAAGACAACAAAAGGAAGACATTCAGAAGGTGGTAGAATAGAGAAGCCTTCAGTCTAAGCAGAAAACAGCTGGAGGAAAGGCAGGAACAAAGGTATGCGTGGGCATACGATATGTGAAAAACTGGTTAAGAGCTTGTGGGTGGAGAAGCAGAGTATGCCAGGCATAAGTTATGTGAAAAACTGGTTAAGAGCTTGTGGCTGGAGAAGCAGAGTATGCCAGGCTAAGGAATAGGGGATGTGGTTTGTGATGGGAAACAAGGTTAGTCAACAGCCTCAAATGCAGGGAATTGATCTGCCATCCACTGCTGGGTAGAAACAGATGATGTTCCAATTCCTCTGACAGTGTAGTGTTGGCAGGTCCAAGTAGAGGGCTTATCTTCCATGCTCCATCTGGTAGAAGCAGGCAGCACTTCCCTAAGCAGGCAGTGCCTCCCTGTCAGAGCAGTATAGGTAATGCTGAGCACAGAGCTGATCTTCCAACCCCCACTTAGCAGAAGCAAGCTGTGTGGCCACTCTGATTCCCTTGCCAAAGTCCTGTCAGTAAGGCTTAATGATGAGTTGTTCCTCCACAGTCATCTGATGGCCTGAGGTAGTGCTTGTAACCCCTATTCTTTAGCCTTTTCTCACCCTCCCTTCATATCAACACAGCAGCAATTAGACTGAACAACACAGAGGGTAGTCAGCACCCTGGTTCCCCACACCCTTGGTGTTAGTGAAACCCACTGAGGAGCTGAGTTTTTATCCCCATCCACCATCAATGAGACTGAATGAGAAGAATAAGATGGTACTCAAGTTTCCCTACACCCTTGGTGTCAATAAGGCCCAGATAAGCCTCCACTCCCACTTGGAGGCAATAAGATGGTATGAGTCAGTACCTACGTTTCAAGATGAAGCTATTGGCAGATCTAAGAAGGGAGCTAAACTTCTATCCATCCCACCCATATGCAATGAGTCATTGTGACTCAATGCTCCACTTTTGCAATGATGGTGTCAGGAGTTCCCACAAGAAGCTGAACGTGAACACGCACCCAACCCTCCAGCTACATAACAACAGGGGGACTGTCTGATAAAAAAAGTTAGACTACAGAGTTTCATAATATAATATCAAAATGATAAGGATGCAAAGAAAATTACAAATCATACAAAGAACAAGGGAAATCACAACTTGAATGAGGTAAGACACATAATAGATGTCACAACTGAGATAAATTAAATATTGAAATTATCTGAAGTAGATTTTAAAGTAGCTATCATAAAATTGCTTCAGTAAGCAATTATGAATTATCTTGAAACAAATGGAATAATAGAAAAACCTCAGCAAAGAAATAGAAGTTATAAAAAAGAACCAAATGGAAATTTTAGAATTGAAGAATGAAATAACCAAAATAAAAATCCCCTGGGATGGGATTAATATAAGATTAGAGATAACAGAAGATAGAATCAGCAAACTTGAGGGTGGAAAAATAGAATTTACCCCATGTAATCAAGAGAGAGAAAACAGACTGAGAAGATAAAAACAAACAAAACAGTCTCAGGAACATGTGAGACAATAACAAAAGAGATAACATTTACAATTGCTTTAAAGGAAGTTAAATTCTTAGGTACAGATCTATCAAAACATGTACCAGATCTGTATGGTGAAAAGTAAAAATGTTAATACCAGAAATTAAAGAAGACCTAAACAAATGGAAAGACATACCATGTTCATGGATTGGAAGACTCAACATAGTAAAGATGTTAATTCTCTCCAAACTGATCTATAAGCTTAATGCAATTTTAGGAAAATTTGAGCAAGGACTTTTATAGAAATACACTTAAATTTATATGGAAATGTACAATATCTGGAATAGCTAAAACGATTTTGAAAGAGAAGTATATAGCAGAAAGAATCATTCTACCTGATGTTAAGGCTTACTGCAAAGCTACAGTAATCAAGAAATTGTGGTGTTTATAGACTGATAGACACATAGATCAATGACACAGAAGAGAGAACCAGAAATTGATTCACACAAATATGTTCAATTTATTTTTGGCAGAAATTTAAAAACAATTCAATGGAGAAAGGGTAGCCTTTTTAACAATTGGTGCTGGAGGAACTGGACATCCAAAAGCAAAAAAAAGGACCTGGACCTAAATCTCTTACCTTATACAAAAATTAACTTTTACCAAAAACACACGGGAAAATCTTTGAGATCTAGCACCAGCTGAAGGGTTCTTATACTTTACTCCAAAAGCAGGAACACTCAAAGGAACAATTGATAAATTTGACCTTATTAAAAAAACAAAATCAAAAAAACTTTTGCTCTATGAAAGACTCTGTTAAGAGGATAAATAGACACGCTACAGAGAGGGAGAAAATATTTGCAAGTCACATATCTAACAAAAGCCTTATATCTCAAAAATATAAAGAATCCTGAAAACTCAACAGTAAAATAGCCATAAATCCAATTAGAAAATGGTAAAAGACATGAATAAACATTTCACAAAGAGGATACAGAGTTAGCAAATAAGTGCATGAAGAGATAATTAACAATTAAGGAAACATAAATTATGACCATAATGAGATATCACTACACACCTATTAGAATAGCTAAAATTAAAAAATAGTGACCATATCAAATGCTGGCCAGGATGCAGAGAAACTGGTTGTTGGCTACATTGATAGTTGGAATGTAAAATGATGTATTCTCTTTGAAAAATATTTGGCCATTTCTTACAAAAGTAAACATGGAAATACTATACAACCTAGCAATCCTACACTTAAGCATGTATCCTAGAAAAACAAAAACTTTTTTCACACAAAAACATGTAGCACATAAATGTTCATAGAAGTTTTATTCATGATTCATAAAATCTAGAAACAAACCACATGTCCTCCAAAGGGCGAATGGCTTGAAAAAAACATTGATACATCCATACTGTGGAATATTACTTAGCAACAAAAAGGGACAAACTATTGATACAAGCCACAATTTGGATGAATCTTAAGGGAATTATGCTGACTTCAAAAAAGCAAATCTCAAAAGGTTGCATATTATATTATTATATTTACATAGCATTCTTGAAATGACAAAATTATAGTTTAGTGGCTTCCCAGGATTAGGGAGCTGGAGTGGGAGGGAGGTGGTTGTAGTTATAAGTCGGTAGTAGGAGGGATCTTTGTGATAGAACTCTTTTTTGTGACAGTGATGACTGTCACACTAATCTTCACGTGATAAAATTCCATTGTACTTAATACATACAAAGGAGTCAATGTATAACTGGTGAAATCTGAATAAGTTTGATAGGTTTTATCAATATCAATTTCCTGTTGTGATTTTGTACTGTAGTAATGCCAGATGTTACCACTGGAAAAAACTGGGCAAAAAGTACAAAGGATCTCTCTGTATTATTTCTTACAACTCCATGTGAATCCACAATTATCTCAAAATATTTTTTTAAAAAAGTAAAAGAAGTGCAGCTGTGATATGTAATAGATACGGAAAGTTATTCAATATATATTTCTGAATAACAAATAAGATGCAAAAAATTATATGTATAATATTTCTTAAGTAAATAATAATGAATGTTGTTTTATGTACAAGAAAAAATAATTATGTAACTTTGAGCAAGTCATTGAATCCCTCTTTGTGTCCACTTCATGAGACTAAAGTAAAAGATTTGGACTATTCATCACTAAAGTTCCTTCTTGCTCCAAACTTCTATGATTCAATGAAAATGGAAAGCAGGGAAAGAGAGGTGACATTAAGAAATGGATTTGAGCTGCAGTTATCCAGTTAACCAGTGCATGTAAATTGTAAATAGGGAGAAAATGCAGCTAGGTAAGCTTAGGGCAAAGTGACAGAGCACTTTAAAACCAACAGATCAAGATTTTTGTCTTCTCTGTTGGGTAATTCAGAACTGCAGAGAGATTTGTAGAGCTGCTAAATTGCCTGTAAAAATCTAATCTTGTCACCATATTTTGGTAGGATTGAATGTGAGAGCTGATGAGAAGAGTAAAACTGTGAGTTGGTCAGTTAGAATAAAGGCTTTGGCTCTGATTATTGAAGGTGTTGGTTCAGGATTTGACAATGTTCACCTAGATAGCAAAGATTTCCTCTAAGTACTGGATTGAAGATGGAGACCAGTGATTAAAAACCAACCAAACTTTCTCTGTTAGTTTGATTCCTAGACATAGTTATTGATATTTTTCTTATTTTTGCAAAAATAGCTTTGTAAAGCTATAAAAGAATGGGTAAAATCAATGAACAGAGAGAAAACCACTCTACGTTACAGAGAATGATAAACTAGCACTAAAAATTCTGGATTTTATTATTTGACTCTGTTACTAAGTTGCTGTATGACTCATACTTTCTGTCATAATTTACTATATATATAAGAGGTAAAATACTATCTACCTCATAATTTTCAGAAAACTATATGGAATTTAATTAGGTAGAAGGTCTGTTTAATGTTTTAAGCTACATAAAGAATAATAGTATGTAAATATAGGATCTGAGAAATTAATAAGAAAAACCTCAAGTAAATTGGAGTTAGGAAAGCCTGTAGGGAGGGCTCTCATGCCATATCATACATCATCAATTACTCCAAACAGGAAGAGACATATACTTGCATCTCAGACAGGAAGTACAAGTACTTAACTACTGAAGGAAGATTTTTCTCTCCACCCAGCAACAGCCCAGCCAATGAGAAGTACTGCATCTTAGCCAATGAGAAGCTGTCGACACCCTCTCCTCCAATGAACTTTGGTTTAGAACAGCCCCTCCCTACTCCCCCCTTTTGCTCTATAAAAGCAAGCTCCCCTCCTTTGTTCTCTAGATTTGCCTATGGTTCACCATAACACGCACATACTAAAAAGCAATTCTTTTGGCTATTCCCAAATGAACTCATTTTGTGGATAAAATAACTGGCTTATTTATTTTTAAGTTGACAGATCACTTCAATTTTGTTTTATAATGTGGAGAAATAGCAGACAAATTTTGAAAAATGACCTTGTAAATAGAATGTCAAAGTTTACTCTACTAGTTCACTAAGATTAATGAATTTTACAGCTGCTTTTATAACAAGTCTTTATTTACTAAAAAATCAAATTAGGGTCATTATGAAATCATGAATATTGATATGTTCTACATTCTATGTAATATATAAACAAAGATATTACCACGCTGAAGTTTAAGGTAAAGAGTAAAATGAAGCCATTATTTTTCAGATTTTTCTTTTGAAAATTATTTTGAAAACAATAAGTTCTGTGACTAATGAAAATTATCTGAGGGACTAGTCCTTGGATCTTTTCCCTTGATACCTGAATTTTCTTTCATAAAAAAAGAAAAATGACACAATAGAACCCCAATCATAATCCTATAAGTGGGTTCCAAAAATAAAATCTCTTAAAATGAAGGGTTTTATTATTATGAAATAAATTAATAAAAAAATAACTTTCTGTTGGTCTTCACTGAAACAAAGCACAGATATAAAGTTAGTAAACTTAAACTGGACGCAACTGAAATGAAAAATTCCTAAACTATCATTCAGGAGTTGCTTCCTTATCCCATAGGCTGAGATATGAACTTTAGACCACGCTCTTTGAGAATAGAGGCTGGTTAGAGGAAGGGAGATACAAGCTCACTATAAGAAACTCCAACAATACATAAAACTATAAAGATGAAAGAAAAAAAGAAATGAAAAAAGTCAACCAAACCTCACCACCCATACATATGTTTTCCAGGAGATATGACAATCACTTTCTATTCCCGTATTGTTTAGAACTCCATGTTAGATGACCTCTACAGAAACAAAATTATGGTATATGTATGTGCTTTGGAAAGGGGCAGTCTTGAAAAATAAAAAAGCAATTGAAACTCAGCCTTATATTTCTTCAAAGGAAGGTTCTGACACAAGAAATACAAATAAAAATAAATTGGTATTTATACCTGTTAAAAGAAATTCAGAGAACTGAAATTCATACCTGTTCACTAAGACATACTCTCCATTCTCAAGAACTTGTGCACGGTCTGTGGGATACAGGCCAAATGGAGGTCTGCCTTGGAGCTAGTCTGGGGTGGAATCAAAGATCATGCCTTAAGGCAGTGGATCTATAACTTTTAGCATGCATTACAATTTGCTGGAAAGCTTGTAAAATAAGCAGATTCGAAGTCTCATCCCCGAGAAACTCTGATCCAGAAGGTCTGTGGTAGATTCTA